TCTGTCTAACGCACAGGAAAAGCATCTGTGCCTCCCAGTGCACTCCCTAATACTGAGGTCAGCAGATGACATCATCAGTAAGAAAAAGATGGAGGGATAAGAAATCTATGGGAGGAGACGTAAGGGCAGGACTAAGATGCGCATGATACAACATTTGTGTGAATCACACTAATCATGCAATAATGTATATAATGAAGGCACAGCGCTCTCCAAAATTATTTGGACATTTGTGTCAAAATGCTTAATAATGTATTAGATTCATTGTGTTAAGAAAGAACACTTCAAACCAAGTGGTATTTATTCTAAACAGACTATTCCATTCCATTATTTTGTTTGGTATTCTTTCAAAACGTACTTGTGTCGGATTGTTACAGTTTGAGGAGTTTCTTTGTAGACTTCTGCTGGTTTACATCCAGAATGTCTTTGTACACGTCTGAGCTCATGCTCCCATCAATGACCACAAGCTCACCAACACCACTGTAAGAAAAACAGCCCCAGACATGGCAGATTCCACCTCACAAAGAGTCTACCATCAGTCTGATGTTGTGCTAAACATGTTTTTCTCTGAAATAAATACCATTTTGTTGAATATTTTAGGAAGCAACCTAAAGAAACGGTTAAAGTATCCAAATACATTTTGGGACCACAATACTAGTGTATATTGTGTATATATTTAGAGTCAGGGTGTATATATATATATATATTATATATATATATATATATATATATATATATATATATATTTCTTTTTTCTTCTTATATATATTTTGTATTTAAATTATACAAGGGGGCTACGCACCTAAGATTTTCACTCACCTTGCACCTGTGTAAATGTGTTGTGACAATAAACGTGATTCATTTGATTTTGATGTTGTAATGAAAATAAAGCACAAAGGTTGACAGAGCCAATCAAATTTAAGAACCAAAACTATTCATTTCTGTACTTTAGGACAAATGAGATGGCAAACAGCAATGCAACACTCACAAGCAATCTACTGCCACATGTGGCACAAACCAATCAGCCACACACACACACACACACACACACACACACACACACAGTCAGATACAGGTCTCTAAATACGGGAGAGGAGAAGAGAAAATAGATAAAAGGCCAGGTGAGAACAGAAGAGAAAAAGGACAGAAGAGGAAAAAGAGAGAGAACAGGGGAGGAGGGGACAGGGTAATAAAATAGAATACAAATTAGAGAAGTGAAACAATGAGAAGAGAAGAAAAGATGGCATGGTGGTAATGGCACAGTGACCTTTACCGTACAATACAAGTTAAACTCATCAGTCCTTCAACTTGTGTGGCTGTAACATTTATTAGACCACTGGCTTTCACTGCAAAGCCAGAGCAGCATAATTCAGCCTCACCCAGAGAACACACACACACATATGACACACACACATGACCTTTCAGACACACATCCTAAATAGCAGGCAGACTTCCACACCATTAAGGTTTTATGCCTCAATAACAAATAACTGCATGAGAGACAGAGAAAGAAAGAGAGAGGAAAGAGAGAGGTGACAGATTCAGTGATAGGGGTGTGGGGAGAGAGTACAGTAGTGATGGAGAGCGTATGCAAGTGTGTAAGTGGGTGGACTTTACTGTATTTCTGACTGTGCGTGGGTTGCCAGTGCTTGAGCAACAGTATGTGACGCCGATATCCGCATGACTGTGTGTGAGTGTGTGTGTGTGTGTGTGTGTGTGTGTGTGTGTGTGTTGATGGGTCAGAGTGCTGTCAGTTTGAAGTTCGCCTGAATCTGGCCTAAGGGTGAAAAAGGAAAAGTCTGCAGTATAAAGAGATTACTGCCCCCCTCTCCGTCTGCATTCAGCCTGAACAGCTTGAGCAGATGTGACCTAACTCTCTCCCTCTCTCTCTGCATCTCTCGCTCAAGCAGAATCTCAAGCATAGCACACATGCTTTAGGAGTTACATAACCATGCCAGAAACAACACAAGCTGCATTTTTTATACCATATGGACACAAACGGAGAAGCACTTGAATGTAGTGTCCACAGCTCGAGTAAAACCACTGCGTCACTTCACTGTGCAAAAACTCTGTCATGGAGCTTCCAAAGGCATATATATCTATACAGGTATATATATATATATATATATATATATATATATATTATATATATATATATATATGCACACCTGCAGAGCCAAACTGGATTGCAGCATCCCTATTTTTACACTCTAAACTTCAATATGACGGAGCAGAAAGGCCGTCACGAGGGATGCAGTCTTGGCAGTAACAGGAAGGCGCACATCCTCCTCCTCTCTCTTCCGTAACCATGGAGATGCCAGCACAGAGAGAAAGAGAGAGAGCTCAGGCTTGGAGATAAAATCACTACACAAACACCCTCATCATGAACAGAACATCCTGATGTCCACCTAAACCTCAGAGAAGCATTACTGCAATTTATTGCAATGAATGAACTCTATTGCACTACACTATATATTAGAGAGCGAGCGAGTGAGAGAGTGAGAGAGAGAGAGAGAGATACTGATTATGATATTGAATGGACCATCAGTCACCTTAACAAGCCTCTAAGTGGCATCAGAGCGGCTATATGACACAGCAGTTGGCCTGAAAGAGAAGGATGCTTTGAGAGGGCCTAAAATGAACAACGCCAAGGAAGATATGTGGAAAATGAGGAGTAAACGTGTTTCATAAGCACTCATTACAGCTACAGCACACCAGAAAGCACGCCATCAACGCCTTCAGGGGAAAACACGAGTAGAAGAAGTGGGGATGCTGACAGGCTCATTCAAACAGAAAAAACATGACGTCTAACACCGCAACACATTCATGTGAGGTGTTCTTTGGACAGTGTGAGACCGCGTTTAGGACATGACAGTGACTGTAAATAAAAGAATACGCGTTTAAAGGCGGCTCGTTTGTGTGTGTGAGGAAGAGCATGGCGTTACCTCGCTGTCCTCTGAGGATGCAGGTGGAGATGCAACGATGCCCGAAAGAGACCCACAGACACACGAACCCGGAGAGAGAAAACACATTAGTCCACTCAAACCAAGACACAGTAATACAGACACGGTAGAAAAGCTGAAGCAGGTCACATGTGAGCTGTTACCCGTTTTGAAAATCCGGCTCTTGTATCGTGTGCTGGTTGTCATGTTGCTCGCTTGCTCCGCTCACTCTCTCCTCCTCAGCCGCTCTCCGGTGGGAAACCCAGCAGAGGGCGGGGCGATTGCGTCAGCGCGGAAAGCTCCGCCCACTCTCTTCTCCGACCAATCACGGTTCAAACTGGTCTCAGGGTCGTAGCTTAAGCTGCTGCAGGGTGCGGGGGTTAAGTGTTCTTTCTCACTCCTAAATTCGAGCACCGGCCTAAACACGGATGACTTTGTTAGAAACATCCTGCTTGTGTACCGTGAGAGACTGAAGCTCATCTGCTGATGCAGTTTGTGGTAGACTCACATCAACGGTCATTTTCTATGGAAGCCCATTCCTCCAGGTAGAGGAGAAAAAAAAATCTGTTTTTCCCTCCTTCTTTCAGGGATTATGCCCAAAATATTGACTTATTAGCTCGAAACAGTAACATATTTTTAGTATCTCAAAATAATGACTTATTTTCTTGAAAAAATTACCAAACATCTCGATATTATGACTCAATATCGATGTTATAACTTAATTTCTTAAGTCGGAGTGTCTTTTAATACTGATTTACTTTCTTATATTTAATGACTTAGTATCTCAAAATAATGACTTACTTTCTAAAGACCTTAAAATACTATGTTAAAATAGTTAATAAATTTCAAGAAGATGAGGAATCAGTTCAGGATAAGGCACTATTACAAGACACTAAGTCATTTGTTGACATAAAAAATATTTTGACTCAATATACTGAGTTACTAAATCATTATTCCAGTCTTTTTTTTTTTGAGACCAAGGCAAAATTTTGACGTACTGCTCCCAGAAATAGAGGAGGAAAAAATTGTGGGTGAACTTTTTTCTCCTCTACACTCTCAGAAAAAAAGGTACAAAACGGTCACTGGGGTGGTTCCCTCAAGGGTACGTCTTAGTACCTTTAGTCAGGGAACATAATTGTGCCATAATCCATTGAAATTATATTTTCTAAGTTATATTGACTTCACACACACTCTGCCTCGTCTCCAGGCTTTTTATTTTATTGTTCTGTTTTAAAACATTAGGTTATAAAAAGGTACAAATACGTACTTTTCAATTGGGGAAAACGTATTTAAGTTACGCAATTGGACCTTAAAACCGCTGTTGTGCCTTCAAGGGCACATTTACACTGTTTGTACCTTGATGAACAAAAATGTACCTGCACAGTAACTCTAACAGTGTACCTGGCAAGAATGGGCTTCCCTAAGTTTCTGACCACAGAGCCACATTTGGCTGGATGTTTGGGTGGTGGACCACTCTTATACCGATTCAAACACACTGCTATGCCACCAACATGTCACTGCTGTGTTGAGAATGATCCACCAGCTAAAGAACAGTGGACCTGTGGTTAGAAAGTGATCAATAATAAATGGTGCAGAGGGTGGCAGACACACTGTGCAACAGATGGGCTACAATCTGCAACTGCACACATTTATAGAGGACTATTTAAGTAGACCTCATTAAGTGGCCAACGGGTAGAAGTATATAGCAGGAGTTTCTAATAAACAGGATGATGAGTGCAATTTTGAATAAAAATAAAAACATACACCTAATTTTAAATGCTGACAGAAACTGGATCCTTACAATAGCTACAGTTCTGTACAGCCATACAGAGGCTGTACAAAATTCTTCTGATTTCATAATAACACTGCAATATCTTTTTTTCTAAAATGAGAAAAAAAATCTCTGAAGCTAGAATAAAGTGATCTCTCTTCCAAACCTACTTATACAGCTTTTTAAAAATTAAATATAGAAATACAGTGAAGAAGATTAAGTCAGCCTAACTGAAAACAGAATTGTGTTCAGCAGCTGTAACCATTGGACACAAAAACATCACAACAAGATTTAAGAGAACTTTTAGATTTATTTCTTAAAATAAGTACAAAAAAAAGAGCATGAACATTTTAAAACAGAGTAGTGAGCCCTATTGTACCGTGGACATGCAAAACAAAAAGTTAATCTGAAAACAGGAGATGGCCAAGCCAAAATAACAAGGCTGGGCCGCAACATTAAGAAACAAAATCAGTGTGTTTATATATGGCTAATGAGTACAGTGATGTAGGGTGGAGGATGTTGTACCGAAACAGGCAAACATGGATGTGTAAGCATGTGCCTATTCATCTGACACCTCTATTTAACTTCTAATATTCAGTGGAAAGGTAAGAAGTAGATAAACAAAACCAACAACCATAAGCTGCTAAGTAAGAGTTAAATTAGGCACTGCTACTGCAGCAGAGGCAGATTACAGTAGAATATTAAGGCAAAAAAAAATATAAAATGGTGAGAAAATATCAAACTCCACGCACAAAAGGAAGAAATGCAAGGACAAACAGTGAACAGAAACTAGTGTTTAAGAAAGATGTTTAAGGCATGAAGAGCGACTTCAAGAAAGGAGGGGTGTGTAACAGCACACCGACACTTTTGTTCAAAACATACTACCGTTAGCACAAACATTTCCATTCAATTTCATCACCTGAAGTGTTATGTCATCAAAAATACCACAGCCATGATACACTCAGTCTCCAATAAATACCCAAAGGCTGCAGTCATTTAGACTCTAGCCTATCCGCCATATGGAAATATAGCTTTAAAATCGTTCTGAAAAACACGCTCATGCAAAATAAGGCTGGATTTCAACAAGACTGAACAAACTGATTCCATCTGAAAAATTAGGTAACAATTTACCTGAAGGGCGTCTACAAAACACGTTCATAACATCTTATATAAACACTTCATAACAGGTTCATAAATTTATTTAAACCTATATTCATGAAGCATACATGTTTTACATAATATTAAATCGTTCTCATTTTTTATTTTGAAAAACTATTATTTTCAGTAAAACGCCTCATTTCTGCACAGTGAAAATAAAAATGTCCTTGCTTTACCCCTTTGGTCATTAAGTGCTTTAACACTTAGGCACACCATCATACTAAGATTCAGTTGAATGACTGTTCCTAAGCATATTCAAAAGTAATTTACTGTCCATGTAGTAAAGTGACATGTAAAGCAACAAATGCTTAAGAAAAAAAAAAGATAATTAAAAAGTAAGTAAGAAAGTATAGATGAAATGTGCCTGAGTGTCAAAGCACTTAACGAACAAAGGGATAAAGTGAAGTCATTTTTATTTTGGCTGTCCAGAAATGAGGCATTTTACTTTCATTTTGAAAAAATGTATCTCAGTAAAATGATATCGTCCATATTAAAACATGTAAAACATGTATATTTTATAAATGTTGACTCAAACATTCATTAACAAGTTATGATGCATTTCTGTAAGATGTTATGAATGTGTAATGCAGACACCATTCAAGTGTTACCGAAAACTCCCTCATTCTCTTCTGTCCCGAAATTAAGTGAGGCTATTGCCCCCTAGTGGCAGTCACTGCACATTACAGACCTTTAGCTGCATGGTCCAAGAACTTTAAGTAACATCGTAAGTACACTGTATGTCCAGAGGTATCCAGACACCCATTCTAATTAGTGAATTCAGCTACTTTCAGGTGCACCTATTGCTGATAAGGCTGTTGTGTGAGCTTGTATAATCTTTATAGAAAAGCAGTACTAACAGAATAGGACACTCTTGAGCAGCTACACATGAGCCTAAGGTCAAGCATCAGCTAGACGGTTATAAAGCCCCGTAGCACTGGACTGTGGAGCAGTGGAACAGTGTTCTGAGCTCCATACAGTACCTTGTGGAAGAGCTGGAGTAGTGTTTTGGACATACGGTGTACGTCTAAGAACATGGTGTATGTCTAAGAACATGGCTGGTTGGATTTTTTCCTTGTTAAGTGGCTATAATTGTTAACCTATCTATGCCTTCTTTTCTTGCAGGGTATTATCTCATACATAAAGAATTAAGCACAGAATGCACATGATTGTATTTCACTAGGGGAGCATATACACACACCCAAGCACATACCCACATACACACATTAATAAGGTCTCTGAAGCAGGCTGTTAAACCTGTATTCTCTTGTCGTCTGACCGTAAACATGTTGTAAATTCCCTCTTTGAGCATACAGTAGCCTACTGAGAAAGAGGCCAGACAATATAACTGTTTTCTCAGCGCCCATCAACCACCATCCGTCAAACAGGCACCACTGGGACATAAAAGAGATTAGGAACTGGAGGTGACTGGTACGGCATGAGCTGCTTAGAATGAGCACAGAAAGCAAGGCAGTGCGACCTCAGCAAGCACCTGCAAACTACTCAATGTTTTACTGATATGTATCCCATGTCTATAAAAATAATAAAGCATATGCCATGATATATCATTTGCAATATAAAATTGTTCCATGCACCTTGACATGATTGACAAACACAAAAATCCCACAACATGGAGTATACTGATAGATATAATCAATAATAAATATCAAAATAATGGTTTAGTCAACCCGATCAGTCAACATGGGTAGGACATGGAGTCAAAGAGCTTGTTTATACCTTGCATCAACATGCGTTTTTGGTGACCTGATCACATTCCGGGTTCACATGGCCACATGAAAAGCCCCGGAACACACTGTGATCAGATTACGATGGGATCACTCAAACCACATTCTGAGGTGGTCAGGGACGGATCTTGACCACATTCAACACAAGTATGAATGGAATGTGTTTCATGCACAATGGGCTGATGAAAGTGTCCAAGCCAACCTTGTCGACTTATATCAAGCCAGGGGAAAAAAAAGTAAACAAGACTAAAACCGATAGAACCGATACCATTGACGTGCTTTTTACGTGGGGAAAGCATAACCAGATCTCATCTGATCAAAATGAGGACGCATTTCAATGAAAAGTGTAAATGTAATCCAGCCAAAGTACATCCAGGCATGAAGCACATGTTAAAGTAGAGTGTAAACAGGCCCACAGATTGAAATTATTCTACCTGGTATGGACAGCAAAAATACTGCAAAATATATATGGCAAATATTAACCGTAATAGATGTATGAGGAACCCATCATTAAAGTAAAGAGAGGGAGGACTGCAGTGACTGAGCGGTGGAGCTCCTGGTACAATAAACAAACAGAGACTGACACACAGACACACACACGCACACACACACACACACACACACATCATCTTCCTTAGTCATCTCCAGGCTTCATCCTCATCTGAGCCTGCATTTGAGCTATCATCTGCTGCATACGTCTCAGCTGGAGGGAGGGGGAGAGGAGAGAGAGAGAGAGAGAGAGAGAGAGAGAGAGAGAGAGAGAGAGAGAGAGAGAGAAGAAGAGAGAGAAAGAGAGAGAGAGAGAGAAACGGGCTTAATAAGAACTGATTAAGACAGTTTAATACATTCTACAGTTAAACACAGTTTAATTAACTTGATTATTTTAAAAAATGATTCAAATGTACCATTTTGATGAATCAGCAGTTATAAGTTGGTAATTTGTATAGTGATATTGAATATTTTAAATTCTCCTATCAGTCCTACAGGACCTGATGGAGACACCCCTTTAGATGCAGTTTTGCCATATCTGGCTTCTAACTTATTCTCCACAGGGGGGCAATATTAGCAAACAAGCAGCTTGTGGTACTTCGTGACAATGACACTGTGAGTCCTTGTTATATGTTTACATTTTTTAAAGTTATAGTTTAAAAGTCAAACAGAAATCAAAATGGACCATTTTTACCTTGCTGTTTATATGCCTGGTCATAGTAAGCATGATTCATCATTCTTCGTCATTTAATGGTCAAAATAAAAGTTTAGAGACCTACTGCTTAACACACTGACAATGAGGGCGTTTTCACCTCTCAGACTTTCCTTACGTAAACAGACAGATGAGTCACGTAATGATGATTTTAACACTAAAAATGACATGGCAAGACTTTGTCTGGATTGTGGTCACGTCCACCAGACCAATTATCTTATCTTGACCTGGTAGCTTATTATGTTCTAGTAACATAATATGCAGTCTGGGCCACAGGATAATCTACTGGGGTATTACTAGCAGTTTCCAAATCTGGAAGAAAATGTGTCATACTCTGTATGCATGTGTGTATGTGATCTTCATGACCTGCAGAAGCATGTCCTTAAAAATACACTGCAAGTGAAGACTGACACAAATGTTGAGTATAATATGCGAACACGGCAATGCCACTTGGGTTGTCATAACAACCAAACATTGGGTACCATGATTCTCAATCTACATCCTGCTGAAAACATCTTACAACAATTATTTCCATTCTCACTACAAAAACAGTATATGGAAATAAGGCATTTCCACCATTAGAATAGGTAAGGCAGCAGTTCTATCTGACAGGAAGCTGATGTCATGTCCTGTGCAGACACATTTGCTAGTTGTTCTGATTGTGTCGCGGGTCTGTGTCTGCCTCGGCTATATGTCGCACTGAGCCAAAAAACAATATAAGGATCACGTCTAGAGGATGCAGAGTCGTTAATTCACACAATAACCCCCTTCAGATCCAGTTACAAATCCAATTCATGACATGTAGAGGGGTGAGAGAGGGCACGTAACAGCAAATTAAATGCGCACATTTTCTGTGACTGACAGAAAAGAAAAAGCGCATGAAAAATGTGCGTGGGCATCTTACCTCGGCCTCCTTCTCCAGCAAGATCTGATCTTTGTCTAGCACTTCATCCTCAACCGTTCTGCAAGAGTCAAACAAGAAATTGTATTGTCTGTATTTACATGCCTGTATAAAACCCTTAATTGGCCAGGAACCACCAGTGGCTCCAGATATCTATTCCACATTTGTCTAAATAAAGAAAAGCCAGTTTGTGTTGCTTTTCCATCTAATTGCTGCTCGGGAGAGTCAAAGTGCAAAGCTTGTATAGTGGGCTGAGAGACAAAACAGTATTAAAGCCAAGAAGGAAGGCAGGTTTCAAACAGAGTTTTTGGGGAAAGAAAAAAAAAACCTATTTTAAAACATTTGCTACTAAAAAACTTCTTGAAGGTAAATAAGAATGTGTTACATATACACAATCCCGTTGTAAAAAAATGGGATGCTGTGCAAAGTGTAAATAAAAACAGAATGTAATGACGTGCAAAGAAATAAAACATAATTGAAAATAGTACATAGACAACGTATCAAAATGTTATAACTGAGAAATTTTAGTTTTTGAAAAATATATATACATTTAGAATTTGATGTCAGCAGCACATTTCAAAAAAGCTGGGACAGGTGCAACAAAAGACCGGTAAAGTTGTGTTATGCTAAAAAACACCTGGCAACTAATTAGATTAATTGGTAACAGGTCAGTAAGATGACTGGGTTTAAAAAGAACATCCCAGGGAGTCTTTCAGAAGTAAAGATGGGGATAGGTCCACTACTCAGTGAAAGGTTGTGCAGGCAAATAGCGCAACAGCTCAAGAATAACATTTCTCAACATAAAATAGTAAAGATTTTTGATATTTTATCAGCTACAGTACATAATATCATTAAAAGTATGCAAGGGACAAGGCTGAAAACCAATATCGGCTGGCCGTGATCTTTGGGACCTCAGGTGGAACTGCATTAAAAACAGACAATTGTGTTGTGGAAATCACTGCATGAGCTCAGAAACATCAAATGAAAAATATGACAAAGCAGACCCTGTTGAGCAGCTTAATCTTCTATTAAACAAGAGCGGGTCTCCTCAGTTCCAAATGTTTACAGTGTTATTAAAAGAAGAGGTGATGCAACACAGCGGGGAACATGCCCCTGTCCCAACTTTTTTGAAATGTGTTGCTGGTACCAAATTTAAAAAGAAGCACATATTTTACAAAAACAATAAAATGTCTCAGTTTCAACATTTGATGTGTTGTCTATTTTGATATACTATTTTCATATTTTTCATATGATTTGCACATCATTACATTCTGTTTTAATTCTGATTTTGCACAGCATCCCAACTCTTTTTGGAAACAGGGTTGTAGTACAAAAATATGGTGACTCTCTTATTGGGTCAGGGACTGGGATTAGGGTAACTTTCTTGCAGGGGAGTTGACCATTGTGAGGCTGTGATTCAGGGTTAAAGTTCATTAATGTGGGGCTGTGTTTGCAAAGAGAGGTCGCTTGTGTGAGGTTGTGTTTTGTAGGAGGGTTTAAGCCCGTCAACTTGACCATCATAAGTATTAAGAAAAAAGCAAAAGTTCCAACTTCTAACTGCTGCTATAACACCTTTACAGGGCAGCAGTAAGTGATGTTAGTTTATATGAGCTGTTCTGTTGTCAGTTGGGAGCTACTAATATTGACAGTTTGGAAGCAACATCAGCTAAACAGCCGATTTGGCCACTGTAGACTTTAAAAAGTTTTGTATGATAAACAGAAAGACAAATAAATTGCTAACTGCTATCATTTATATGGTAATCACCAGCATAAATTACATGATTGTGATACTCCTAGATGGGAAGCTGCATTTTGCAGGGTGAAAGAAGCTGCCTTGCAGACAAAAATTTACACCTACACCTTGTGTTTATAGCAAGTTTTGTGTGCTTTTATCTTACCTGCCAGCTCTCTTCAGTCTCTCTGAGCGGAAGTTCTCATAGTGTAGGTCCTGAGTTACCTCCTGCAGGTCCTGCATGTGGGTTCTACAAAACACACACAAGTAGATTGTAAGACTTAAACCAAGAACACCTGCAGCTGGGTGTCTAAATATAATACTTTTATGGTAAGAACCAAACTACTCCTATACCAGTATACGGTTAGAACTGAGTATTGAAAATGTGCTATGTATTTTTAATTCTTGAGTAGTCAGTCTAAGCAGCATTCAATAAGCATGCTCGTTCCAAAATTTGGACTGGTGATTATATTCTGAAAGCATTTTATTAAATGTCTGCACTTATTGATTAGTACACAGTTGGTTGCAGTGAGTAAATGTATCCACTTCCAGCACCTCGCACTCGTTTAAGGCACACCGACATTCGGTTTTGCATTTAAAAGGAAGGTACTGAAAAAGTATCGTTCAGGAAGCCACATCAAAGGTATTGGTATTGATTTTTGTTTAAACAATACCCACCTCTACCTGAAGCAACACTTCCATATACCTTTAGATCAAGACTAAGGTCAAAGTAAAAACAAGAACAACTTGAAGATAGTTAGAAGATATCACAGTTATATAGTTTTTACATCCACTCATTTAGTGAGCAAAGGTTCTGCTTTAACCATTCTTTGGTAGGCCCAATGGTGTGTTGTTGTCAACCTTCATGAGCCTCAGCTCATGGACGGACGCCCTGATATTGTAATGTAGAATTTTCTTACACAATCCAGAATTCATTAGCAGCAAAACAGCCTCAAACTGTGATACTGCCACCACCATGTTTCACAGTTGGAATGAGATTCTTATGCTGCAATGCAGTGTATAGTAGTTCACCTAACATAACATTTCTCCTTTAAACCATAAAGTTCTACTTTTGCCTTCTCAGTCCAAACAATATTTATTTCAGTAGACTTCTGGCTCATCCAGGAGGTCTTTAGGGACTGACATTAGACAGTGCAAGAGAGACCTGCAGATCCTTAGAGGTTACCCAAGAGTTCTCTGTGATGTCCTAGAATGTTTTAGTCCTCACCCACACTCATACTTGATTAAATCTCTTGACCCTAATTATCCTCTATAACGAACAGATCATTCCAGAGGTTGACATACTTTGGCCAACAAAATAAAAAAAAAAATTAGTTTTGGATTACTTTGTTATAAAAACGGTTCTTTATCTCTTATGATTTAAGTGAATCTAATCAAATGTTAGGTCATTTTAAGATAGAAACTCAGACTAAATTCTAAAAGGTTCACAAACTTTCTATCACCACTGTACATGCAGACAGTGCAATGAACAAACATTGCTCCAGGGCCTCCAGCAACACAGACAAGACCAGAGTTATAAAGAACTATGTCCACCAGAGGACACCACAGCACCAATACAAGAACGCCGCTGATGAGACAGAACACAACAAGAAACATTTAAAGAGAGAAGCAAAGCTATGAAAGCTTGTGTACTCACACCAGCATGGTGCGCAGTTTGAGGAAGTCGTTGTGTTCAGGGTTCTCCACCTCCACCACACCCCAGGGGTACAGGCGCCCTCGAATCTTCTTCCCCTTCACTTCAATCAGCTGGTTGGAGCCTATCACTGCAAACGGAATGCTGGCCTGGAGAGGACAAACCACATAGGCATGTATACAGATTATATACTTGTACCATAAAACTGAGTGTAATAAAGGATCTTGGGGAGGAATGACCTCTGACCTTTAGGACACGAGTCTGCTCTTTGAACTCTTCATCTTCATCCGAGTCAGCATCAGGGAGCTGGTAGATGCGGATGCCGTGCTCGCTGATCTCATCCAGGATCTGAACAAAGAAAACACACCAGAGTAAACACAACTATTACAGCAATGATTTCAATGGAGACAACTGAAAATGTAAACAAATCATGATTTCACGGCGCAATAGACTGTCCACAGATAGTGGTAGACTGACTGTGATAGCTAAGGTCATCCTGAAACTTAAAGAGATTTCTGTCCATTTGACAAAATTTCTGTATAACTCAATCTTCAAGATGTAAACAAAGTTATTCAAAGGGGTTCGACACGAAAAACTTCATTCTAAAGAAACATGCTGTGTCAAATTTGTTCAAAATGGTGGTGATGGGAACCAGGCGTAAAACCAAGTGTTTAATGCCTCTAAAAGCTCCCTCACATAAAGATATTACACAAAAATTGTTTACCGATGGTTTTGATATAAACCTTTGAAACAGTACCCAAAGAAAACTTTTTACCACTATTTTATGAAAGTTTTAACTACTATTTTATCATTACCAACATTACATATTAAAAACTAATATGACAAGTAAGGTTCACAGATCATTTTGCATAGCAAATAAAATGGCTATATTCATGTTGTAGACATTGCAACCCTTTCTTCCTATCACTACCATTGTAAAGACATCTGAGTTGGTAGGTTTTTCTACAATGCCCAATTCATTCTGAATGACTGTTTACATCTTAGCGATTGAATAATGCAGAAATTTTTAAACATCTGTGGAAATCCCCTCTAACAAGAGCAGATCTTTTTAGCAGCAGGCTAGCTTCAGAGGAGAAGAAATCAAAATATGGATTTAACTAAGACTGTGCACTGTGTGTGTGTGATGCTGTTTCCTTTCCACTGGTTTGAGCTGAGCTTTTCAGCCCTTGGCCAAATTAAAGCACTCTAAGCAATGTACTGAGGATGTTCTTTGAAGTCTGCCACAGGAAATCAATAAATCATACAATGAACACGCTTCCACACCCTAGAGGTTTAGGAGGGTAATGTAACAGGACCAGCTTCAGTGGTAATCAGCACTGATTGGGGTCAGATGACGGCAGCTGTACTGCCAGAACTCTCAGTTTTGTCAAAAGATAACAAAACAGCCACGTCTTGCTGAGAAGAGCAGGGTGAGATGTTGGGCTGAACTTTTGACCTCATGGGTCTCCAAAACCTGGAAATGACTCAAAATGACCTCTGAGCAGGTGCTGAAATAATATAAGCAGAACCTTGTATGTACAAGCAGACTTGCGGAGATGAGCTGCTGAACATAGAAAAGAAAAATTGCAATGTAATGTAGGCCTCACTCCTGTAATAGACCATGTCAGGCATCATGCTCTATATTTGATCAAGAACCTTTCCGTACAAAATTCCCTGCAGTTCAGACGCACCTGGAGGGAGCAGACACGAGGATTTATTTTTCTAACATCAAAGCTGTTGTCCCAAGAGGCATGTTCACAATGCGATTTGGAGAACAGAAGCCAAAAAAGCGGCTAGCAGCCTTTTCCTGACATTCTGAGCACTTTCATGTAATCTCAGCAGGGACAGTGTTTCAATAGGGGAGAAGCCCCCACTCCCCCTGGCCTTTACAGAGCCCCCTCCTGTTATGACTAGGCTTGTTTTTACAGCATGGAGCTGCAGTGGAGCCGCAGTGAGACAGGTCCGGCCAGGACTGCGTGTGAGTGAGTGTTTGTGTGGGTGTCATTGTTGCGTGGACCTTCTTCAAATAAACAGAACATGGTCATCTGGGAGAGAGCGTGACTGTGGACATGGTGCTGTGGACCATATGAGAGAGAGAGAGAGAGAGAGAGAGAGGAAAAGCAAGAGAGAGAGGGAGAGAGAGAGGAGTCAGTGTACAAGAAAGAAAGAAGTAGTAAGACCTAACGTAAGAGAGAAAAAGGAGAGAGAGAGTAAAAAAGGGGGAGAGAAAGTAAGAGAAAAGAAAAATGGGACAGAAAGAGAAAAGTGAGAGAGAGGGAGAAACAGAAAGCAAAATGAAAGAGAAAAGAGAGGTCATGAAAGAGAAGGAAAGTGAAAGAGTGAGAGAGGGGACAGGGAGAGAAAGAAGTGAGAAAGAGAGTAAGAGAGAGAGAGAGGGGAGAGAGATAGAGAGAGGGAGAAAAACAATATGTTTATGAATGTATTTATTTATTAATATTTATTTTAATAACAAGTAAAGCAGAGGAGAGAGAGAGAGAGAGAGAGAGAGAGAGAGAGAGAGAGAGAGAGAAGGAATTGACCAAAGAAGCAAACAAACAAAAAGAAGAAAGAAAGAAAGAAAGAAAAGAAAGAAAAATAAAGAAAGAATAGTATGTTCTTCTGTGTTGTTCAGGGACATACAGTAGGAAGATCCTGAAGCTTTGGGAAAGCTCTCCCAGTGAAGGGGGGAAAAAACAAACATGTTGCCTCACAATGGACGGAAAAAAGTAAAACACAACAGAGCAGAAAACATAATGTGTCTCAGTGCCAGTCTGGGACGGAAAGACGTGCAAAAAAAAGAAAGACGCAGCCAAAGCTGAGACGGCCAGGGACATTTTAATCTTCATAAAGAACTCTACCACAAACCTTCGGCTGAGCAGGTGGAGGTGTGTTATTCTTCTGATTATTCTGAGCTGAAGTGGAGACAGAGCGACTGAGCTTGTTTTCATTCCACAGCAGGTGCTTCTATGCTACTGGACACGTAGCTTTCTAGCTTTTAAATAGATGTTCACATTTTTCTGTTTCTTTAAAAACATTTCCTTCACAAAAACTACAAAATCTAAGAAACAAACATGCTTCTTTGCCATAAGCTGCATATCTTGTTCTGATGTGAGGACTTATCAGCATTCAAACCTCAGCTTGCCCACTACAAACACATTTCACACAGAGAGAGGCAACAGCGTACTAGTTAGTGTTCTAGAAAATGGTTTATTTGATTCTATTAACTTAAAAAATTCAAGCCAAATGGCCACTAGGGGGTTTGCTGTAAGAGGTTAAGTAAATAAGTCCAGCTGCGGCACTGCGTTTATCCATAATCCATAACAGTTTTACATAATAATTAAAATATTTAGTTTTAAACATAACAATGAAGATTTTAAGGGAAACTGTTTCATTGGATATAGTTTAGGTCATTTGAGCGGGAAGGCAAAATTGAACTCATGCAGAGCTCAAAGGTTACTTGCTAAGACAGCTAGCTTGCTAGTAAAATTAACAGAGCTGATGACTGATGCACATTAAGAAAAGCATAAAACCATAAGCCTATTTTTAATTTCTGTTGTAAGTTTAGTGTAACATAAAATAATTAAAAAGAAAAAACAGCAAACAGCATGTTTACTGCCCCAGATGTTTCATATGGTCCTATTTTTTTCCCTCATGTCCACAACAGAAATGGCACAGAAATGCATACCAGCAGTGAGAAGAAAGAATGCAGCAACAAAAAGTGCAAGTAGACACGCAGCGTAACTTTCATTATGGACACAGTGCACTCAAGCTTACTTCCAGGCTTTGACCGCATAACACAGCACCATCTTCATACCAAGCGGAGGCCTAAAATCTGACACATCCTCTCTCTCTCTCCATCTCTCTGCCGACCTGAATGTGTTTGATTTGGCCGCTTGTGGCTGGCAGAGGCCCGCTGGAGTCGGGCCTGTAACAATGGCACGGGAGTCTCTCAGCTGCTTTAAATTGAAAAAGGAAGTGAGCCTCGCCGATTCTGCCCGTGATTTGTTTGTGAAAGGATGCATTATGAGTTGTGACCGTGTGTTTGCGGAGCTGGAATGAGAGAAAGAACTGAGGGGAAAAGTTACAGTGTGGGAACCGTTTCAAGCGGCAGATATGACTGGAGGCTTCATGGGCCAAAGGCTACAGAAGGTCCATCAGCAAACAGCACCTCCAACATGGTCTTAAAGATAGAGCGTGGGAGCCTAACACTCTTCAGACTAGCATTCTAAAAGGTCTTGAGGCTTTGAAAGAAATGAACAGTGCATTAGTGCTACAATTCACCAGTTACAAGACATCAATATTAACTAGAGACTTCCAGTCACCTGATCATCCCATGGGTTTTAGGGGCCTGAGCCACTAGGGCCCCCTGCAGGCAGTTATGAGAAAATCTAAACAGCTGTCTTGACTCATGGTCGAAACTTTACTAGTAGCACAGTGAAAAAAATTAACTAATTTCAAATCTGTCATTATATTACAGCTGACCATAATCCTGATGCTGGCCAGTTTCATATCATCCAGTCACTGCTCAGCAACCGTTCCAAATATAAAATGTCAGCCACTCAAGTTGGATTATACTTGTCGATTTGATCCACAAACTGTCCTGCGCATTAAACCATCAGATGTAAGCTATAAATAGAAAAAAAAAATGCTTTAGCGTAGGATGCTTGCTGATTTGATTTTAAAGTTTCTTGCTTTTTTCCATCTTATTATGTACATTTCAGCTGTCTGACTTAAATTTGTCATCTTCACTGGGGTAAATCTGTTTTGTCTCAATTGGGAAAATAATGCGCTTATGCCGGTGACATGACCAAAAGTGAGGTTAATATGCTGCTATCGTGGTGCTGGATAACCCTCATGTAACTTGCTGTGATATCATATAAAAATTCTCTGACCACACAAAAAAAAAGGTGGCAGGTAGAGGCCCACCAAACATTTGTTCACCAGGTGCCTTTATTGATGGTCTGGGCCTGTCTGGAGAAACCCCAATCCTACACTCCATATCAGTCTGATATCAACCAGATATGAGGCCCTACCACACCCATCTAGACTACTCAGTCTGAAAGAAAAAAAAAAATCTTGTGCTAATTATGTATATCTTTCTGTAAGGTGGTGGAGTATTTGAGCAGGTTGATTTTTCATCATTTATTTTTTCAATCTTAAGATTCATAGTTTAACTGAAGTGCTTCAGTTAAAAAGGTCATTATTGGACATTTCCAGCATTATCGGAGAAACACACCTAAAAAAGTGATATTTCTAGTATTAACACTAAGAACTCTACAATGACTGTTTTGCGATTTTATTTTAATGTAGTTCCATAATAAGCAAAAGAATTACACAGTTTCAAAGTT